TAGTAACAAGTGCCTTACTAGTAGTAACAAGAAGCTATTTGAAACAATATATATATATATATAATATTGACTCAAACACATCGAGGCCCCGAAGATCCAGGGGGTGATCGTCCCACAAGATCGTTCTTGACCTGGATCGCTCCTTCTTTTCCTTTTTCTCCTTCTTGTCCTCCTCCTTCTCCTCTTTCTCCTTTCTGCTTTTTTTTTCTTCGTCCTTATCCTTTTTATCCTTTTTGCTCTTCTTTTCCTCCTCCTTGCCCTCCTTCTCCTTTTTGCTTTTCTTATCCGGCTTGTCCTCTTGCCCCATTGCTGCGTGTAGCAAGGAACGTCAAGCTGCTGATGAAATGAATGGTCAAGCCGTTCTAAGTTGAAGATCATGAAGAAGGCTGAGGGCTGAAACCAACCTCTTAAGTAAAAAAATCATTGGTCTTGCTTCTACCACAGAATCTGGCCCTAGCTATATCTTTGTCGGCGAAGCTTACCAGCTAGGGTTGAGGTGTGCTTGCAGGATGAGCTCCAATTCTCCTTCCGTGCATGTCCAAAACACTAGCCAGGCTGGAGGCCATCGCTAGTAGGTTGGAGGCCATTGCACCTAGGTTCCTTTTGCGTTGGAATAGCCGGCTACATCGTTCATGCCTTGTGAGCCAAATACCGCGGAGTCGAAAATCCGAGTTGGGGTGTCTTGCTACAAATGGCACAGAACTGTCCAAGACGAACGGAAGAAAAGAACATCTGGTCGGAATCTGTCATGTTGAGTCTTTTTCTCTTTGGTGTCGGTGTCGATGCTAATCGCACCGCGCCTGGAGATACCTTGCAGCCACCGATGGTTTGGGGCCACAAGCCTGTGAAAAGCATCACATCACCCCAAGACCCGGTCATCTGACACGTGGGGGCCCCACATGGAAAGGAGTGGGAAGGTAAGCTTCTTTTTGTTCCTAGTAGCGATGCCCTTGTTTCTAATAGCTTCTTGTTACTACTAGTAAGGCACTTGTTACTAGAAGCGATGCACTTGTTCCTAGTGTCATTCGTCCCAAGGATTTAGTGCCAAAAAGACCTTCCGGTACACATAACTTCTGTGGAGCTCTAGAGTCTGGGGCGGTGACGGCGGTGGTTTTCGCCAAAAATCCAGAGATCCATGGACGGTCAATCAAGAAGCTAGTAGAAACAAGTGCCTCGCTAGTAGTAACAGGTGCCTTACTAGTAGTAACAAGAAGCTAGTA